GTTCCCTCCGTGATGTGTACTGGGTTGATTTGAGTAGGGAACCGAAGAATCAAAACCCAGTAATATTCAATTGTATTTGGTGGTGGGTTTGCTGCTGTAGACCAATTAATTTTATCCTATATAAGCAGAGGCTGTTCTTAGGTTTACCTGTAGCATATAAAAACATAGCTTGGATTTGGAGTTGGTGGGCCTTTTGTTTAAAAGTCGATGAGAGGGAAAGGGTGTATTCTTTTAAGAGTGGAAAACATGAATAAGCTTTGTAGAGACTTCATCAGGATGGGAAGCCAACCCAGCGATGAAATACTGAAATGGTAGGAATTTACATTGACTTCATTTATCTGAATCCTTACATTCCTTTGGGAGTTTGGTTAGGGAGTTGCTGGTTTTGCCTTTGTAACGAAGGATTTCTTTAGCGTTTGAGTCAGCTTTAAGGCGCTGCGGCTTCATCCGCAGAGCTGTAAGGCTGGCTACAAGACATCTAGAGTGCTTTCCTGGGGTGAGGGCTTAGCAACAGTGGTAAACAGCAGGGGTGAATGACTCAAGGTACTAAACATTTAACGTTCAACAGGAGAAAGAGGTGCCTTGCTACTCAGCTAACAATGTAGCTCAAACCTGGGTCGGAATGTTGAAAATTAATACTGGTTAGAGCGAGGAGTCCATTTACGGGAAGCATTTGAAGTTTAAGTGGCTCTAGTAAAATGAGACACGGGTGGCAACGGGTATTTTCAAAAAGGTGTCAAGTCACGGAGGTGTCAAGAACGTGTGAAATGTAGTCAGAGTTTGCAAAAAAGTTGGAGAGCTTATTTAGGCGATCCTGTGTGGGTTTTCTAAGCTGCTTAGATCTAAACTCACTTACAAATGTGTCCTATTGTCCAGAGCGCTTAAATAAGTCGATCTCTATAAAGTGATATAGTAATCTCCCAGGCAGCACAAGTATCATTCAACCTACTGATTTATAAAGCTGTGCAGACATGTTGTGGAGAATATTGTGTTTTTCTTAGCATAACCGCATGCTTTATTTTCAGTCAGTAGTATACTCCTGATGCTAAAGTAGGTGTTCTTTGTTGCTTTTTTCTTTGCCTTTACTACCTCTGTAACTGAAAAAACGTTATTTTTTTTCTGAATAAGAATCACTGAAGTACAGTGCTTCAGTTGTGATGTGTGACTAGCGATACAGCTTCCGCAGAACATGAAAGAGGATGCTCTGGCTGTTTCACTTCCAGTTTTAGAGCAGAATGTGACATTCGAAAGCCCTATCTTAACCTGAGGCTTTTGGGCACCCAGCTGCAACAAAGAATTTCCTAGGAATGAGAATAACTGCTTGTCTAATTTTTTGTCTCAGTTTTTGCAGGCATGAAAAGAAATAGATTTTTTTTTTTTTCCTCCCCCATATCCTGCAGAAAAATCAAACTATTTCTGAATGCCTTTTCCACAGGAAATTGCATAGCTACGTTCTTGCTTACCTCCTTATTAAGATTATTTGTAACATGTAGGTTCCCGTGGAATAGGAATCAACTTTTTAACAAGCTTTCGTCGCTATCTTGCTAAATAGAAAAGGCCCATTTTAAAGAACAGGTGTGGCTCATCTCCAGCCCCGAACTTCAGGATGAATCTTCAGGCCAGTAAGATATGAGTAGGGAAATCTGTATTGTTAAACAAAAACCTCTTGGGTCAAGAAATTGGTTTCTGTGAGAAATGGAAACACGTTCCCACCTAATAAACAAAGCAGTAGAAAGTAAAATGAGTGTGAATTTAGTTCATGTATCTTCCTAAAATTGGAAAGATTTGCTTCTGTTTCCAGATAAGTCAAGAGGTCTCTACGGCATTGGAAGAGGCCAGGTCAGGAAGCCAGCGTGGGTCTGCAGGGGCACAGCTGCTGGTCAGGATTAGTGCTGGGGCAGCTGTACTGCTCCAATGTACAGAGCTGCCTCCAGTGCCTCAACGCACGCTTTGTGGTGCCATGCAAGCATGTCCCTGATGACTAAAACTCCACCAGCAGATAGGATATTACCTTTTTGGTACCTTACGTGACTGTTAGGTTGATTGTTTTGTAAGCTGCTAGGCACTGCCTGTCTGTTATTGTTCTGATGCTGGTTTGATCATGAATGCTGTTTTATTTCCATGAGCTGATTTAGGTGGGGTTTTTTTTAATATTATTTCTAATGAGCAATTTTGTTTTCTCTTTTTCAGCTTTTCTGGGAGAAGAGGCTACAAGGCCTCAGCGCATCGGATGTCAGTGAACAAATCATAAAATCCATGGAGCTACCTAAAGGTCTTCAAGGTATTGTGTTCAGTTATTGCAGTTGTTTCAGATCCACAAAGTTGTTTGTGCTTAAAAAGGGCAGAGTTTTTCATGCTCTTAACAACTTTTCAGTTTACGGTCAGATTAAGTAAACTTCAAATTGTAAATATTCTTGCTCAGAAAATACCTCAGCCTCCAAACTGATGTTTATTTTTAGTTCATTTATGTAGTTAATATAAACCACACTTCAGAACTGCGGTCTTATTGGTGAAAGTTGATCTGAAATATGTTCGAGTCATAGCTCAAAATTAATAACTTCCGTTCCACTGCTTGGGAGATTTTCTTGGGAATTTGAGTGTTGTAAGAATCTCCAGCGTTTATTTTCCAGAATTAATTTAGTACCTTGTAGTGTTAAAGCAAAGACTGTGCTGGTGCAGATTAATACCGTGAAGCTGCAAAGAAACGATTTCAATATGTGACTGATAAATTTATGATGTGATCATATTGATCAAAAAATTGACGATATTGTAGTTGTTAGTGTCAGCAACAACCCTAGCCAATTTTAGAAATGAGATGCCTTTCGAAATGCTAGCTTAGACTTAAATGAGAACTGTGCTATTACAAAGCCATTTTTAAGAACTTGCATTGAACTGTTTAGATGAGACAATCACGTCTCTGGTGGCAGCTACATCGTCAGTGTACATAACCTCACGAAGCGAGACGAGCTCTGCTGCTGGAAGTTACATGTGAAATGCAAACGGTAACTATTCAGTTATCTTCCTTTCAGGAGTTGGCCCAGGTAACAATGACGATACCCTGTTATCAGCTGTTGCTAGTGCTTTGCACACCAGTTCTGCGCCTATCACGGGGCAGCTCTCTGCAGCTGTTGAGAAGAACCCAGCCGTCTGGCTTAATACATCTCAACCCCTCTGCAAAGCTTTCATAGTCACAGACGATGACATTAGGTAAGTTTCATAAAGTCTTCAGGGAAACGAAAAGCAAGTTCAATTAAAGTAGATTGCTTCCTGGCTTAGTGCAGTGCTGGAGATAAGGGAAGAGAAGCGTGAACATTTCTCTTGTACCTATTGGTTAGTTCCATAACTGGAAAAAATGAAACCTTGTTTTTTTTCTTTGTGGTCAAAATAGTAATATAAAATATTCACTAAGGTATGAATCATAATCCACATTTTCTTTCCCAAGAGAGTGCCCTAAACATTAAGCTATAGTCATGAGCAATATTGGCTTTCTTCCTTCCCATTTCTGGTTTGCTCAAGTTAATGTGTTGATCTCAGTTAAAAAATAAGTAATTTCAACAAAGGAAAATAAGAGTATTCCCCTATAGCGTATAGCTTTGCAGCTAATATGCTCTCTTAAAGTGGGAGACTGGGATATGATATGAAGAGCACAGATAGATCTATTCACATATGGGCAAAGATTTTGGGTTTTAATAGCTGCACGGTTGATTTTGGTTTCAAAGAAAGACTCGTCCTTTTTTTGGGTACTAAAAGCGGAAGCTTCAGCACTGAATTTCAAGGTTAGGACTGAGTGAAGAGAGAGGTTTCTTGTTGCATTGACTAATGGCCAGAGTGTGGCAAGACACAGGACACAACGGCTAGCTGAAGCTTCAGCAGAGCTGATGTTGAGGTATAGAATTATCCGATTCCCAGTCCTTTGCTCAGGGACTTGCTTTATTTTCTTAAACATTGACTTGAAATGCCTTTGCAAGGTAAACTCTTCTTGTTTTGTTACAGAAAGTTACAGGGCACGATGAGAAGCTTTCTTAGCGTGTTTGACAATGTTTATTATTTATTGGAAGCAAAATTTCTTTTTTTTTGTCTTATCAGTCATTCGGTTGTTTTTACAAAGCAGATTCTGATTCTGGTGTCAGACAGTACTGGCAACTCAGGGAGGACGCGGATTCTGAATGGGAGCAGCTCTACTTCTATGAATATGCTGCTAGTTCAGTGTCTCTTCTGGTTCATGACTTCACAGGCAGCTCACTACAAAAGGATTAAATATTCTTAGAAGTTACCTTTTCATACTGTTTGTGTGAAGCTGGCTTCATTTTAAGGCCATCCAGAAAACACAGGGCATGAAGAAGTAGGATCAGAATACGGCGCCTGTTATCACTGAGGAAAGCAGTACCATTGCTTTCTGAACTTAGGTAATGCTAAGGAAGAGTTTGCCATTAAGGATATCTGGTCAGGTGCCAGCAGATATTCTTCTGCACTATAAATTCTTCAGGGAAATTAGAGCAGTTGTGTGCATCTAATAAAATAGCTGTCAGCTTGACTCAGTGTTCAACCTGAAGTATTCCTGGTCATGTAATGGTGGTAAATCTCTTTCCTAATCAGAGTAAAATGCAAAATTTCGTCTTTTGCTTCAGCACCTTCACTGGGAAAACCTCCTATAAACACATGGCTAAGAAACAACCGTGCTTCCTTATCACTAGGGACAAACACCTATTTTTTTCTTAGTTGTGGGATACACTTTCTGAATAGTTCTGGGCTTCTTAATGCGAGTCCTGTGAAAGGTAAGTGTGCAAAAGGAGTATGGTGTGGTTCCTGGTGGTCTTTACCTCCAAATCTTAGCCTCCTGAGGCAGGCTTTTAGAATTCCCCATTAACTGGGTCTTCTCCCATTCTGAATCTGTGAGATCATTTATCTTGACACTGCTGCTTTGCAGCTTCTGTTCGTAGCTTCTTCCCTGACCAGCATCTAGCTGCGTTCTTTGCAGCCGCACTGTTGAGTTGCCTCCATTTCCATGAAAGGCCAAGACTGACAGCCTTTGTGTCTCTGCTGGATAAATGCTTTAACCAGTTTCTCTCGTTTGGGATGACCTGGAGAATGGCATCTTCTGAAAATAGCAAATAGGTGGATTGTTTCTTCCAGTTGTGCTTAGGTGGATGAACTTTTTCAGTATATTATCAAATTCATTTTTGCCTCGCAGCTCTGTTCTGCTTCATAGTCCAGTCTGTCATTCTTTTGAATTGTCTCTCTCTTCAGTGGGATTTTCTAAAGCTTATAGTTTTGAGGGGATTTCTTCTCCTAAAGCATGTAAGTTGTTTCTGAAAATCCCACCTTTTAGTTTTCAACAGCCCTTTCTCTTGCTCAGTCTCAGTCCTTTGCGGAGCACTTACCATCACCCAGTAGGGTTTTTTTCCTGAGCTTTCTCGGGTATCTTGACAATTGCCCTTTTCAAATAGCAGGGTCATGGGACTTCTGCTTTTTCTTATGGGTAGCCATAACCTGTTAAATTTACCAAAGCATAACAATTAATGTAGTAAGTCTGGCTGTGTCGTGTTCTGCACAGTAGTGGGTAAGAAGAAGTACTTGTTAATCTGTCCAAAACCCAAGCTGTATTTACAATGAGACAGGAATGGGGAGTAATTCAAGTTTAATGCTCTCTAAGTTTGTTTGGCATGGGTTTAAGAATGCCTTAATCTTAAACTATATGAACCTTGGTCCAAGGTAGTAGCTTAGTCCCTCACAGTATTCTTCAATACCCTATACAAATCTCACTTCAAGTACGACAGGCCAAAGCCACAAGAACTATAATGTGCCGGAGGGAGAAAGTGAGAGACCGAGAATATTTCCACAGTCTGAGGAATAAGAAAATTGTAAGGTAAAGTGATGTGTGTTGCAGGAAGGCAAACCCCTAAATAATCCTTATCAATCTTGGCTGGGAGATAAACTTTCTGACCCCAGATCTGAAGGCAAGTTTAATACGGAGTATGTCAGGAAAGCACAGTAACTAGGCATCTGAGAATTTCAGTAATTACCCTTTAGAGTATGGTGTCTCAAGAGTGGTTAGCTTCTGCTGGGAGGGGAGGAGGAGATGGGAAAGATCTGTTGGAAGTGATGTGTTAGAGAGGTGTATGTGTGTGTGTGGGGGGGGAATTAGCAGATGCCTCTAAACCTGAGTTTAATGTAATACAGCATACTAGTAATTAATTCTCCTTTCAGCAGTGCATCTCAGATCTGGTTAGCAGAAGACTTCTGGAATCCCTGCTGCTGAGAAGCTCTAGAGTATGTTTTTCATAAAAACAGGGTAAATGTTACTGTAAGCACTTATGGTGATGGTTCTCAATTGGAGTGTCTCAAAAAAATACTGTATTTGTGCTGGAAGAGCAGGGGTATTGCCTCCTTCCTGACACACAGGGAGGTGGAACCGGTGTTCAGACAAGGACAGGTTGGTTCTGGGGACTTTTCCCATCCAATCTAACACCAATTTTAAATGTAAAGATGCCTCTGGGTCTGCTGCAGCTAAATGCTATTACTAGAGCTATACACAATTGATGACAGAGGAGATATTGCAGTGCCAGCACATACGGAACTAAGTCAAATAGAGCCTTGATAGATTTAACAATATAGAAAAATAGATGGAGAAATCAGGGGGGAGGTTGGCACGGTATCGTAGTTTGATTGCAGATGGTAGTGTGGAATTACGCTCGTCTTTAAAGCGTGCACATCAGTTAGTTGTGTGGGCTGAGAAGAGTGCAAGTGGTGAGGACAAATAAAATCGTTCTAAGCACTAAGGACATCATCTGAATGCAGAGCCACGCACAATCCTTGTTGTATGAAGCAGTTCTCCGCTGAAAATAAGGTCTGAATTGGAACTAGAGGCTTGTGGGTTTCTGCGTTAGGGGGAACATGTCTTTAATTTTAGCTTATTTTTGAAGGCAATAGTACTTAAACTGAAGGATGAGGATTGTGTCTTGCTGGGAGGAAGGCCGAAAAGAGCACGTAGCCAGGGAGCTGCTCAGTAGCGAGTGATTTTGCTGGGGAGGTGAGAAGGATCGGCACGGGCTGCTGCTGCGTGGGAGCTCCATCGCCAGGATGGTGCCGGGGAGCTGTGGAGCTGAAGGGCTGAGGGCCGGTAGCAAAGAGCAGGCACTTGTGAGCAGCACGCCTGCCTTCCCTGGCAGCACTGCTAACCCCGTGGACTGAATGGGCTGAAGTAGTTTTACTGAATATTGCTGTGAATTAGCGTAAGAAGTCAAATTAACCAAGTTGAACGGAGATACTCTTAAGTCCTAGAGTTTTACTTCGTGTTAAAGATGAGCAACTTTTACTAGTAGTGTTTTCTTGCTGTTGGTTCTTAAACTTTTGCTCTTGGTAGTTCATGTGCTTTAAAAGTCATATTGCTTATATAAAAAGAGCTATGTTTTTAATACTTAAGAAGACCAGGCTCTTCAGGACTGCGAGCGCTGTGAATTATTTTTTAGTTGTTGCTCCCTGGGAGATCAACTAGCTGGCTGAAAATCTGGAAATGAGATAACTGGGGAAAGCTCTGTCTTCTCGTGAGTTTGGGAAGCAAGACCTGGGAGTAACCTCTGGAGAAGGCCACATACGCTGTAGGTAGGGAACCTGGGCCCTTAATAACAGAAGCTAGTCCAAGATACAGAAAACTGGCGGTCACCTCTGTGCATTGTGAGAGTTAAATACTACAGTCCTATGTCCGGGAGGGTAGGAAGGGGCTCATTACAAATCAGGGTAATGATTCTGAAATCGAGGACACGCTGAGCTTGTGCTTGGGCATCTGTTTTTCAAAACTTCATCAACATAGTTAAGTACATTTAAGAGAAGATCTCGAATAAGGGAGCCTAATGAGGTGGTAAAGCTTGTGATTGTTTTGTGCCCGTCTCCTCAAAGTTGATACATAAGACACTTGCTGGCCTTTATGTTAGATTCCATGTCTGGACAACAGACTCCGTGAGGAGCAAAGCAGGGAAGGACCTTGGTAAGCACCAGGAAAGAAAGGATGTTCCAGATCAACTTCTTGTGTGCTTTCTGGCAAGTGCATTCCCTGATACACATTGATGTTCTGAAATATTCACAGCCCAGAACAGCTTTTCCATGAGAGACGCTTAAAATGCCCAGCGATCGGAACCATGTGCAAGGAACATTCACATTCCGTTCGTGATCCGTTCTTTGTAAGAGTAAGGAAGTCTCCTTACTGTGTTTGAGTTCACTGGAATTCCCTTCACGCTCTGAAGGGGAGCTTTATAATGATGCTCCAGCAGCTTTCTTCTCTCAGATTTGGTCATTCAGGCATTTTTTAAAAAATGCTGTCATTAAGTGTCCATATTTATCATCATAGCCTAAATGAGCCCTAGGTAAGGAGCCACCAGGAATCGAGGGAAGGGGTCTGCTGGTGTAAATGGCTGTTGGCTGTAGGCTGAAGCCTGTTGTGATGGAGTTTGTAGGCTGTGGATTGTGGAGAGATCCTACTGTCTTACAGTCAGAATTCTAAAGCAAAAAAGGGGCAAAATCAAATACACTTCAACTATTTATTTTCCATAACCTTTGGCCAGTTCACAATGTATTCCAGCAATGAGATGATGACAGCTTTTTATTACTGATTTAAAAAAAAAAATAGCTGTATTTCAGCTTATGTGTGCTCTTGGAATCCTTTTCACTCAATTAACAAATACTGAATTTGCTACTCTGACTTTTATTTCTCCTTTGTCGCACAGGTTCTGCAAAAGATAAGGCATCTTTGGTTTTGTTCGGTTCTCTGCCCTGGGGTTTGAAAGATCACTTGTGAGGCATTGAAAGTTAACAGCTCTGGGACAGTAAGCTGTGTATTAAAGATAGAAAACAAGGATAGAAAACAGCTGGAAGATAGAAAACAAGTTCTGTGCTGAACTGCTAGTTGTTCTTTTTTTTTTTCTCTCCTTTCTTTTTTGCCTGTAGTGGTTGCAGCCGTAGAACTGAATAGCCTTTGAGGCTGGTGCTCCTCAGAGGCTTCTGGCTTCTGTTGGGTATCGCTCCTGCTCTTCTAGGACTTGATGTGCTTTGTGTCTGTCCTGCCATCCTAAATAGCCACAGGGAGTTTGCAGCACTAACAAGTGTTTTCCTCTGCCTGCTTCTGATGAGTTCTGGGCCATTTTTAAGCATATATTTTATTTAAATGTTTTCTTTTTTGGAAAACAGGGCTTGATAGAACAAGTGAATTTTCATGTAAAAAAACTCCTGGGTCTGATGCAAAATCTGTATTCTCTTGGGAAAGCTTCAAAAGAGGACTCCTTGTTTTCTGGTAACATTTGAAAGCTAAATAATACCTTCCAAACTAAACATTGAATCAACATATCTTCAATTTACATTGATATCGAGGTAATATTTTTGAATTAACTTCCCTCAGGGAAGCAACCCTTTGTTTCAGCAGAAGTTGCTGCCGCCGTAAATGCATCACTGACTAGTAGTGAGACTGAATAGGTAGATAGGAGCAATTAAATTAAATACATGGAAACAGGGAAGCTCCTTGAGGTTCTTCCCCTGCACACGCATCGTGTGGGACTTGGAGTTGGTTCTCTGAGCACTTAGAAACCTACTCAGTGCCCCACATTCCTGTAAAGTTGCTCCTGGTGTACACACCCTTACACTGGGAAAGAGGGAGATTGCCTCAGGTCTCCCTTATGATGCTCATGATGGGAATCTCCTGCTATGATCTTCAGTGATCTACCCTAAAAGGTCTCCAACACCCCCCCCCCCCCCCCCCCCAAAAAAAAAGGAAAAAGCCAATCTGACAAAGATACTCCAGTGGGATATTGCTCCGTTAACTTTGCTTGGTCTTTTCAAGTATCTAACCTGAGAGCGGAAGATCATACGTCGCGTTCAGTCCTTCTGTCTGAGGATGAGGGGAAGTAGACCATGCACACTAAACCAGAGAGGTTTCTGGCTCAGAGCGCTCTTGGTTTTAGTGCCAAGCCCTACCTGTGTGCCTGTGTATGTGCAGAGGTAATAGAACTTCTCGGGAAGGGTTTGGAGAGGCTTTCGATGCCCCAAACCTGTCACCGTTTAAGAGGCATGTGGACAATTCCCTTAATAATATGCTGTAACTTTTGGTAGGCCTGGAGGGGTCAGGCAGTTGGAGGAGATGATCGCTGTAGGTCCCTTCCAGCTGGAACTATTCTATCGTATTCTCTTCTAAGTTAAAATTAAGAGTTGAGAAATGAGTCCTGAGTCATTGTTTATGGAAGTATTATGTTCCCAGCCTGCTACTTGAAGGATTGACGTTTCTGCCCCTTCTTCCCTTCTCTCCCTT